AACTACTTTTTGCATTTTATATATAATTATATATATATATGCTTGTTTAGGATATTGCTCGTGGTGCCATAGAAAATAAAATTGTTGTTTATTGCGACGCGTTTCATTTTATTTGAAAATAAAACTCTTCAGACAATATTTTATATCTCTTTATAATAATTTGTAATATAAGCAAAATGGGGTATGATAAATTATGCTTTGATCCACTTTTCGACCGGAACTTCGCAAGTTTTTCATTACTTTAAAAAAAAACAGGTAATTAGACTTAATTAATAATTTTCAGATACTGGACGAATTTTGCTCCTGTTTCTAAAACACATTTTCTGGAACCGTATGCAAGTCTCTACAAATTCACATTAGTTTTAACCTTTACTAACATGTTTAGAGTCCCGAATAACAACTTTTTCTACATGTCCCATCTTTCCCATGCAAAGTACTGCTTTCTGTCAAAACTAAGACTTATAATGCGCTTTATTATTTACCGTTAAAAAATTACTGAGAAACTTCTTAAAGTAGGCAAGTCGATAGACTTTTACATGGGTTACTTTTCGTCCATCTGGTTTTCAAGAAAACATATGTCTTTACACTCAAGTAAAAAAACAAAGAAAACAAGTACGTTGCACGAGCGTTTTTAGCGACATTTGATTATCGTACTTTTTTCTTCCTCAAAGTCAATCACAAAAATTTTGTTTCCTATGTTTTTTGAAGTTCAGGCTTTGCTCCTTCAACCGAAAAATGAATGAACTTTCTGCGATGTTCCTGAGCGGGAAACTATGGCTGGAGATTTCGGCAACTACTTTTGCACCATCGGTTATTATTTATTTACACAATCATACATGAAACATTTTTCATATTCATTTTATTTTGTATTTTTGACTGTATTTGATAAGTTAGCATTGATTACATGGACGGCAAATCGTTTGACAAAACATTTAGTTCATATTCAATTAAAAGATCGATATGCATCATTTTGTAAATTATACATAACTGTATTTATTATGCATCAAAAGCATTCATATGGACGTTAGTTCTAGCAACATTAGATCGACTTTATTGTACATGTAAAATATGTCACATTGGTGAAAAATTGAAATTTTATTGTCATTACCATTGAATGTCGACGATATTCAGGTATCACTGAATCAGTTACTTTAATTATTTTTTAGGCTTAAACTAGGTATGCACCAGTTACAGTTTTTTACCAGTTAACTGTAACTGTCATAACTGTGTAACTGTTATAACTGTAGACAAATATTCTAGAGTGAATTAGTCTTCTACGATTTGGAGACATTTTAAGAACAGAGACATCCTTAAAATGTATACAAATCGTAGAAGACTAATTCACTCTAGAATATTTGTCTACAGTTATGAGCAGTTACAGTTTTACAGTTATACAGTTACGACAGTTACAGTTATAACAGTTACACAGTTATGACAGTTACAGTTTTACAGTTTTACAGTTAACTGTAACTGGTGCATGCCTAGCTTAAACTCTGTATTATTTGGTTCTCATGTATCAGAAGATGTAGGTGGATGTTTGATTATTAATGAAAATATAAGTTTAATTTATTCTATAACCGATTTTTGTACATATGTTATAATACCATCATTATTGATGTCAGTAAGTGATACAATTATTTTATAGAATATTCGTAATAGTTGATCAAAAATATTACATATAGCAACAATAAAAATAACTAATTATCAAAATGAAACACATTTATCAGTGGTACTTGTTATTATAACTCTTATACTTTTATTAATGGCTACATCCTATAATCTTCTTGTTTTATTCAGTCATTCTAAAATATTTAATGAAGATCTGTATTCAACATAATTGGATATATGTAGTTTAATATCGTCAACAACATATGCTATGCATTTTTATTTATTGATCATAATGAGTATATCAATTCGAAAACATTTCGAGACGTATTTAAAATTATTTATTGAAAGCGTATGGATGAAGCATAACATTCAAAACTTTTTCATCGTTTCAAAATAATCATGGTACTACTAACATCAATTATTACATTACGCCAAAAATCATGAGAAAAATGTTTAACTCTGTATTGTGGAAACATGAACACCCATGAATGCAGCAATATTAAATCATATGAATCAGTGGAGATTCGAACAATTGTGTTGACTTCCTAACTATTCTCGTTTTCAAAATGTAATGCCCATTGCTAATTTTTGAATAGCTCCGAAACGCAATATGCTAGAGATGTGCAGTTTTCATCATTCGATAGCTAAGACTTTACATCATGTTTTCATAAGCAAAAGTTTTTTTTTAGAAAATTTTCAATAACCGGTTCAGAGAGTTGTAGCACAAAAAGGGATCTAAACACGGACTCCGAAATTCGTTGTCAGGCTTATTAGCGATATTGCTGGGATCATCAGGATCGGCCTTTCTCGTAGCGTGGTAATATCAAAAAATACGCCGTTCATAGATAATCGATGCTCCTGATTATCGTGGCAATGTTTACAAAGTAAAATAACTTCGGTTGACGAGTCTTTCGAAAAATATGATTTTGGGGCATCATATAAAAAATTTTGCAACAATATTATTTTCGATAAAATCGGTTGAAACTTCGCGGAAAAGTTTATTAGGTTTTATCGCGGGTGATGCATGGAAAGGATTTTATCTTGGTCTTCAAAGATTTTCTATGGTTTTTTCAAAGGCTTTTGACGTTTTACTACAATACAGTAGTTTCTTTCCATCCTGTAATGTACCATTTCATAGTTATACACACTTTTTCTTTTTATCAAAGCATCTGACAGTATTAAGATAAATCAATTTGTTCTTTTGTTGTCTTCTCATGTAGTATTGCTTTCACTTGAATTTGATCCTAACTTTTACACAGCACGCAGTTCTTTTGCGTGGACGCGAAAGATTGACTCAGAGTAGATTTTTGAAGTTATATTAACCTTCCAAGTATAGTTCATTCTTAATATTGTCCGCAACTATCTGATTTGTTGTGTAAGTACCAAAAAAGTATCAAACCCTTTAAAATCCGTTCAAAATCCGCTTTCAGCCGTTCAAAAGCCATTGGGTTTTGTTCAGCTCTTCAAACGCTATCGATAACCACATCTTAAAATTCTATTAGATGCTTTTAAAGTGATGAAAAAAGAGCTAAAATATAACTTTTATCATGCGGATTTTTGAAAAATCTTTAGAAAATCATTTTTATCCACGACCTGGACTAAGTGTCTAGGTATATTCAGCTTTTCGAGCTCTACCCATCCATATTCTTGAAAATGTTCCAACTAGCTTGTGAACGCGGCGAGTGCAGTTTTAAGAAAAGTTAAAATTTAAATAAAATTTCAGTATATTAACTGGAGAGTCCGACTTTCTTTTAGAATGTAGCCCACTCAATTTTGAATAAAACAGCTAATTTGAAATATTTTTACAGACAAGTGTTGCTTTAAAAGAAATTGTTTTCTGTAAATGGATGTGTGAAAAACCATGTTTTTCTGGAAATCCTACTTTCGACATTTTTAAAATTATTTCGAGTTAGCGATCGAAAAGAGCAACGCTCAAAACCCTTAAGGACTGAGATTTTACAAAATCCTTTCGGTTCTTCATTCTGTAGAAATTGAACCTTTCTCATGTTACACGCTAATTGCACTAGCCGCGTTTCTATTTATTTACAACTCCTATTACCCCAAACACGCTCAAATAACATTCTGAATCTTGTAAACGTTGGAATAAGTTGTGCAAATTTCTCTTTCCGAAATTGATATCATGACAAACATTCATAGTGGGTCATAAATCATATAATGGCAAAGAAAACGGGTCGAAGGAAGTTGTAGAAAAGTAACAAATTAATGTACATCTGAAGTCGATGGAAGAAAATAAACACATTACTTTTCAAGATTTCGATGAAATTCTAAAGAAAGTGGATTGGAACTATGAACATTATGAAAAAGCTTGGCAAGTTGTGTTTTTTCCGGGCACAGTTATTCTGAAATGTGCTCCATATGATCGTTGAGTTAACAACTATAATGAAAAGTGTATTCGCAACTGGGATGCTAGTATGGATGTTCAGTTTGCTGTCGGTAAAAAAAGAATAGACTCTGATGTTTTTTGAATAACGTTTGACAGAAAAGTGGTAGACACTTGCGGTCTTTATCAATTGGAAGCCAAGATCTGACCGCATCTTTTCATCACGAACGTCATTTTGAAAATCTTCTAAAGTACGCTTGCCAGAGGATCTTTAAAGAACCATGTTATTACTAAAAACCTTATAATAAAACTATTTTGGTTTTTTTCATGGGTAGGTAGCCTAAAGTGTCCTCTTCAAAATGGGCGTCAAGTGGGACCTTGATTTTCAGCGCTTCGGTCGTGGTATCGAGCTTCATTTGAGTCTTAGTGTGGACACGCTCTGCGTTCTTTTTCTTGTTTAAATTAAAATATTATTTACAATGTATAAGTGTATTTTATTTTATTTTCCTTCTTGTAACAAATACTTTTTTCTATATTTAAACAGCTAATGTTTTAACTCTACTTCGTACAAAGAGAACCAGTATCATGTTTATGATATTTCTCCAATTTTTCTGTATGATCCTATAGGAGATTTTGTTTTTCGATCATATAATAATGTGAAATCTTTTTTTTGCAGACTAATCAAAATAAAATAATGATTACGTAACCTTATCTCGATATTACACATATAAAAGTACAATTTTATACGTGACATCGTTTTATTGAATAAACCATAAAAATGTCGATTGTATAGAAATGACAAAATCGTACGAGATAATCTACTACTGATGTCAAAATAAAGGATTAAAGAGGGTCAGATTAACAGTCATTAGGATGGGTTAATCGTCTTGTCATCGTCAAAGGCCTTTTTAATCTGAATGCTCGAAAACTATTTAGAGGACTCATTTCGCTATAGCACGAGGAAATAGAGTTTCTAACACAATAAAAATCTACAGAGAATAAATGTTAGTGTCTTATATGAAGAGAATGAAAGGAAAGGCTTCTTTTTCATTCAAAATCTAGTTAATCTTGGTTGACGATATGCCTGGCTATTATCAGTCATTATCATTCGTGCCTGGTTTTTTCTGGTTATTGTGATTTGACATGGCTCGATTAAAAACGGTTCGCCATCTAAAATAAAAACATTAATGTCTTGAATAGATTTAGCAAAACAACATGTAACATTACCAATTTGCATTGGTAAACTTTTTAATATTGTCAATTTGATTTCTCTGCCTACAAGTAGAAGAAGACCAACAACAATAAACACACATTTGTCTTATAGTATTCCTAACCTTGTGCAAGTCGACGACCTCGTCCACCTAACTGAATTTGAGCTAATTCAAAATGTTTGACACTAACAATTTCTAAATAACCGTCGGAACACGACTGTTCTCTGAATTGATCGCCGTCAGTATCAGTCCATGTGCCATCCATTAATGTATTAGGTACACCCTTCGTCAGAACAAAACCGTTAGCATATTCATCACCAGAATCCTTCTCTCAAGATTGGCTTACTTGCCAAGGATTGCTACCAGCTGCATAAGATGATATATTCAATATGAGAATAGCATCTAAACATAAATACGTCTTGCTCTTTAAAATTAAATTTAGTGGAAAGTCAGCCAACAGTGTTATAAGTATTTAAGCTGTCTGTTGATTAATTAATCTATTTTCATAACTAGTTCTCTATCTTTTCTTATAATACAACGGCGACTTCACGTTAAATTCGTACTCGTAACGAGATGAAAAAAGACCTGTATGCATTTAAAGGAAAGACCATCACTTAGACTTGTAGTTTAATGAGTGTTGTACTCTTAGGTACTTTAGGGAGGCTGAGGAGGCTGTTTTGAACTCGTAGAGTTTAAATATACGTGATTCATTACGAGTTCAAATGAGTGTTATATTGTCACATAGTATAGGGAAGGTTGGGAGGCTGTTTTGAACTTCGAAGAAGTCGACATAAATGTTACTAGTTTATAGACCGAAACTTCTATATTCTAAGCACTTGGTGCTGTAGTTTTTGTATCCACTCGCTCTCATCTTCCCCTCTCCCACGCCCGCCCCGACGAACCCTACTTTGTGACAATATAACACTCATTTGAACTCGTAATGAATAGCATAAATATAAACTCGGAACGAGTTCAAAACAGCCTCCCCAGCGTCCCTTACATCCTCAGTCTCCCTAAAGTAGCTTTCCGAAAAAGAACTAGCTAGTTCTTTCCGAAAAAGACAGAAAAGGAAAGTGTGATAAAACTTTCTTTTGTGTTTTTCTTTACGAAGAAAGCACTTTGAAACAAAACCAAGCTCATGTTCATGATCAGCGTCGACAAACTGAATCGAGTGATGTGTTATTGTTTATACCTTTTGTTTTATTGTTTACTTTTTTCGTCAAACTTAATTTCATGGTGTGACGTAGTCAAAGTTATCAGGCAACTTTTAGTCATTACCACGGTCATTTAACATCACTGACTTAAAATAAAATTGAATTGAATTGAATTGAATTAAATTATGTTTTGCGTATTTCGGAAAGTTTTGGCAAAACACGTCACTCGATTCAGTTCTTACTTTTCTTTTTTTGAGAAAGAAACGAGAAAGTGCTGTCCCTACTCCGAAACTGGACCTGGCAATCTTATGTCAGTTTGAGGAAGAAATACTTTGTATCTCAATAAATTGCAAACGAAAACCTTTTTCTTCGACGATAGATTCAATTTTAAACTAAAATTTCACTTCAAAGGCAAAGCAAGTTGTTGTTTTTATGTAAGTTGTTAACTCTTTCAACCTGGTTCGGATGCCACTAGTTCGTTGTATACATTGTTACCATCAACCGTTAATTCAACATCACCAGCAATATGTCCACATAAATAACGTTCATCAAAAAATGTCAAAGATGAAATAACACCATAGGCTGCTTTATTAAAGAAACGATTAGCAAACATTGTTGGATTAGCATTCCGTTGTTGATGAAAAGTCAATGCTAAAAAAGTGAAAACAAAGATCACATAGTCAAAAACATTTTTGAAAAATCGATCTACTCTCAAAAAATGATCTGTATAATAAGAAAAAATGATCTCAGATATTAAAAACTTCCTTTTTTTCTTTTCATCAACCGCTTTTCTGCCCAGAATAGTGACAAATCTCACATCTAAAAGGTTACAATCCTTCGAACGCATTTTTTGGTTTCAGAACAATTTTGGCACCGGTCACTAAACCCTTAATTTCGGAAGATCGATGTAGGCTTCAAGACAGGCTAACCGGAAAATCATTAAATGACTCAGAAAGATTTGAGAAACCTTTTTATTTCGCAATTTGCAGCTATCTCAAAGGGAAAATTGTGTGGAGAAAGAAAAGAGTTCATTACTGTCTTAGACCTTTTTCTAATCTTTTTATTCAGAGGATTTTCTTTTGTTGAGAATAATTGGTTATATTCACAAAGAAAAAATTACAACTGAACCGACTCAAATAATACGAAAAGAGGAATCGATTTTCCAAATTATGCTAGTGTATTCGAGATAAATAATTCAACCAATAAATCTGCAAAGGACTGATAGTTGGTGGATCCGTCAGAAATGTTACTACGTTTGCCGAAATGAAGTGGTTCTCTGCTAATCAGATAAAAATAGGTTTTTAACATATTCATTTATCTCTTAACTTGGACGAGGTGCTAAAACATCATTGTCACATACCTATTTGTGCATCGGCACCAAAACTCAAATAATTATTGAATACTGACAGTGGTAATTTAATATTTGAAACACCAGTATCATTACCTGGACCGATCGGTGGTGATCTAGAAAGAAGCCATAGGCTTACAAACACTTGAAAAATGTCATTTAAGCAGCAGGTGTGATTAGAAACAAGAAACTAAGGCTTTGAAAATGCAAATGGGTATTCCTGATCGGACTGAGGAGAACCAGGCTTTATTTTCTACTTCCAAGTAGCGATATAAGGTCTTTTTTACTTCTATAACCATCTTTCTTTTCGTCTAGATTCGATCACTTTTCTTCTGACTTCATTCTTCAGTTGACATTCTTTACAGTCAAAAAACCTTACTGAGTAATGGGTGTAACTTCAACAAGCCATCTATCTAACATAGTGGTTTCACTCTTAGATAATGTTTGAATTAACTCAGACAAATTTTCGCCTTGATATCCCGGACCCATACCTAAAAATCTAGCCTAAACTATGCAAAGACATGTGTCATTAAAGATTTTTTTAAGAGTTGAACAACTTTCTTTTTTTACCATATCATTTCCAGTACCCAACGGTATGACGCCAACACTAATAAAATCTGCATATTGTATTTGGAATTTATCAAGTGCTGATAATACCCATCCTACAGTGCCGTCACCACCACAAGCTAAAGAAATTTCTTATCTGCCAATATGTGATGTAAGTAGGCTCTTTGTCTTTACAAGAGAACATGTACCCTAAGAAAAGGGCACAAATATATCCTGTTCTGTTAAGTCAGAGATGCTCAATACGAATGTGAAAACCATAGCTGTCGCCATTGAATGGTTAAAGAGTTAGAGTCAGCGTGACACAAACATAAACGCTTTGATATCGTCTTGAAAGTGCCCTGATTTCTGATTGAAACGTCGGATAGAGTTGAAGGACGTCTTATTTTGGAACACCCGAACGCAGCTTCAGGGCTCCAACACTCTAAACATCACGCAAATTCGTTCTTCAAAGACTACCTCCCCTTCATATCAAACCGAGGGACTCAGTAAATCAGCAGTGCTCTAACTTTTTAACGAACCAATGGCGGTAGCTATGGTTTTCAGATTCGTGATCAACGTGGCCGACTTGACAGAACAGAATATATTTGAGCCCTTTCCTAGGGTTACACCAAGAAATTTCACCTTAAGGAAATAATTGTTTTAACAGCAGCAACGACTCTCATTTTTGTTTATTTAAAAGAAAGAATTTTTTAACTTTATTAGCTGTCGAGTTTTATCAGTTTTTATTTTTTTTACCCCTGTCTTGAAAATGGGCATTAATTGTTCGAAAGCTTGACTAATTTTAAATAAACAAAAATGAGATTCATTGCTGCTGTCTGTTAAAATATTTTTTTTTTTATTCAAATGTTTACCCATTAAATAATCCAATTATAAACATTCTGTAGTTAGTGTTGATTCGCAGTTTTTGCAGTAGTAAGCAAGAACATTTTTCGCATATATCCTTTAGACATTATTATTTATTTTCAGTTCTCAGTGTAGGATGTTAGACTTTAGCGCAGTAAAGAAATGAAACAAAACTGAATGAAAGTCGATCACTAAAGATGACCGACAGAATCTCACTGTCCAGAGCGAAATATTTAGAAAATATCACAATATTTTTTGCATGTTTTTGCCTTTTTTCTACAAATCTTGCTTGATTTTTTTTTGACTGAACTAAAATTTAGGTATGTTAAAGAGCCTGCGTGGACGACTTTAATCGAAGAACTAACAAGCGGAATCCATTTTCGATCTACTAGTGATAGTTCTCCGAAAATCTGTCTTCATTTGGAAAACTCCTGTCTAAAAGTTGATGAAGTGTGTTGTTATTAAAATCTACCGACAAATATTTTTCGTATGTTTTGTTCGATGTTATCCCCTTGTCTTTTGCTTAAATTAATTTGTCCAAGGTCTTGTTTCATGTTAGCAATGTGCAAAAACTTAGTTGAATCTGTTTAATATCTTTGTGTGTGGTCATCTGGATGCAGAAGACGATTCTTCACCTATACAGACAGGGCAAATTTTAACACGAATACTGAAAAAAAATCCTAACATCTCGAAAAAGAAGCATCCTATCGAGGACAAGATTAGGAATAGAGTTTGAGATAAAAAAGTATCTTGCTCCACTCAGCATCCTTCTGTGATGGAATGATGAAATGGAAGTCGAAGAATCCGCTGAAACTACCTTTGTACGAGCCGAGGTCGAATCGTTTTGATTATCTAACTTACCAATAATACGTAAATCTTTCTCATATTGATTTTGTTCTAAACCTTTCTCTGGTCCATGATCGATCACTAAATCATAAACATTTTCTGCTCCGATTTGATTTATTAATCCATTAATCACCGCTTGACCTTGTAATCCGCCCGCTTTCGAATTAACAAATGCAATTATTTTTTTTCGAGCACCATCTCTTTCTGTAAAATTCATTGTAGATTGGTGATTTAGACGATCAAAATAAAATAATAGACGTAACTAACTATTTTTCGTGGTGTTTTTCGTAATTATCTATAGCTGTAAAACACAAAGCCAATAATTAAGAATCATTGAATTGTTTTAGCTAGGGCAGCACCTCAGTTTTGATTTCTATATGCATGTCATACGTTCACCTCTATCTAACGGACCGCTTTTGTTCGTTGTTTTTGAGGGTGAGTCCGGTACGCCAAAGAGTTCGTTTTAGGCTTAATCGATAGAGAATTGAATTCTCTACAAAACCTGCTGTTTGAAGGGTGCTGTCTCTAGGGATAGAGATAATAGGCTTTGTTAACTTTGCTCCCTCTCACATGTTCATTGTCATTTTTCTTTTCTTATACCACCAGATGTTATCTGGAATAATGACTGGAATATCTTTTAATTAATTAATTCATGAAACGCAAGAATATATGTAAACTTTCGTACATCTGCTGATGTTTTCTGTAGCACTGATCTATTCTTTAAAGAAACTAATAAAAAATATAGAAAGAAAACAAAAATATGAAACAAAATAACTAAGAGTCACGGCACGTGAGTCACGCCAACATATGCTCAATCACCATTTCGGATTTTTTTCAAACTAATTCCACTGTGTAGAACATGTGTGAAAACCTACAAATTCAAGTTGTTAGCCTTAATGTACTCTTCCTTCCTGGTATATACGCTCATTTTTGTTTATTTTTCCAGACGAGCAAAATTTGAGAACTTATATTAGAAAAAATCGTAAATTCTTGGTACTATACGAGATGGAATCATGACTTTTTCGGGGTATATAGTATTCAATGTCTACTATATAATGACATACAAATATTAAGGATCTGTTTCATCCATCACGTTGCCATAAGGACGAAACGGAGTTCTGAGGCACACTTTTCCGAGATTTGTGGACTAGTTGCAATGGATAGTACTCACACTGTAATATCTAGAACCATTGCCAAAAGTTTGGTACAGAAAACTTTTCACTGGAAGTTGATAAAAAGGACGGGTCCAGAGATGGGCAGCTCCGGCTCCGGAGCGGAGCTGACGTGAGTGGAGCGGTTGATGGAAATCACCGGAGCTGGAGTAAGCGTTTTATGAGAGTCATGAAGTCGGAGCGGAGCGCTGCATAAAAACTATGGAGCTGGAGCGAAGTCGGAGCTGCTCTTTCTTTTAGTGCTTCACCAATAGCTCCATTTTCCCCTTCGTGTTCTGTAAACGATGATAGATCCATCAGTCAGAGGAAAGCTTATCGTTGATTATTCATCGCAGCCGATATTTCTTTGTCGTATTTATAATCAGTCGCAGTTGTGTACCTTTCACATCCGCTCCTGTTGAACGTGTGCTTTCTTCCGGTGGGATGTTCAGGCAGTCTTATGTCGACCAACTCTCTAAGAACATACTCGCTATGTTGACTCTATTCAAATGTAATCGACACTCTCCTATTTCCACTAGTCTTATTTCATGCTGCAGATCAAACTGTGGTCTAAAACTATTGTACATAAAAATTTTCGTGTTGATCTTTCGTATATGCTGTGAAAGAGAATATGAACCGCGCAGGTCATTGCAAAGCTACTTCAAAGAAATGCGAAAAATGTGCTTTTCCAATAAGATGAAAACTACTTTTAGCTGAAGCGAAGTCGGAGCGAAGGTGGAGTGAGCGGGAGTGGAGTTAGAGTGGAGCTGGAGCTGAGATGGAGCGAAAATTTACTAATTGGAGCGGAGCGGGTGCAGCAATTTTCTTGTTGGAGCGGAGTCGGAGCGGAGCGACTCAAAAATGCCTGAAGCGGGAGCGGAGCTGAAGAGAGAAAGAGTCGAAGTTGCCCATCTCTGGACGGGTCTGAGTAAGGTTATACATTTATATAGAAAAATTATATATTTTTCAAAAACATACCATTCGATAGCCCTTGATATCCTCAACAACCTGAGCTAGATAGAATATATAGACAGGTGCGTCCGGTCATCAAAGATCCGCAAAAGAAGCGTTCGGGTGTTATATATGCAGTACAGTGTTTCATGATAAAAAGAACTTCATGGTTTTTTGATTTTTCAGTAAAAGCTGGAACCAATCTGAATACTGATTTGAATAGTCCGAATATTTTTCTGTTAGATGAGGCGTATATCGCCCTTTTATGGGAAAACTTGATAGCAGAGTTTCTGGAAAACGTGAAAGCTAGAGAAACCAGTATTTGGGTTTTGCACAGAAAATTCGAGATGGTCATTGAGCATGCTTCTGTGAGAACCAGGTGTTTTGCCCATGAAATCATTCTTAAGAGTAAAATCTAATAATATATATACTTCTACATATACTCCCCATTGAGATGCTTCAGACACCATTCAGTTGAAAGAATCTGTGATCTAACTACGATCGTTTAAAGCTTCTGTCGAGGTTAACCCAACTGAACAAAGTTTCTTTTGATCATACTGTTGAAGGTTTCCTCTCTAAACATCCATCGGATACTTCATCTACGCAGTTCTTCGTTCAAAAGACAACCCAGGACTCTACAAAAATCTTACAAAATTTCTGAACACCTCTAAAATCTCTGGAAGCCAACTCAATTGATTCTACATAGTCGATTAACTGTTATATATCATTTTCATCCAATCAAGTTGAATGAGGTTTTCGACCAATGGAATCGACCATAGAGGTCGCTTACAGTTATTTTCGGCTTCTACATAGTCAATTACCTTCTACTGTGAAAGTTTCATGGCTGTATGTCTCTTTCTGGATGATAAAATAAGGTTCTCTTTCTGTTGCAGTCAGACAGACAGTTTCGGATTTATCACGCTTGCTTTCAGTCAAGGGGATAAAAATCACATTTAGTAAAGACATATAAGAGACGTTTGTTGTATACAACGATACATACAAGACACATTTTTTTGTATCCAAATAAAAGGTGTTAATTGATTCAATATGAGAAAGTGATAATATTTGTACTACATTTACGATCTTTTACTCTGGTAACACTTTTGATCACCGAATTAATTACCTAATAGACAGAATAAGAAAAGAATATGAAGAAAATATATATGCTGCAAGAGAAACTAAAATTCAGTGGAATTTCAATTCTCCCAGTAGAAATTAAAATTTTAATTTTTCCTACTGGAAGTTAAAATCAGCATATTCACAAACACGAAAACTCAATTAACCGGGTTTAGAAATCAAATTTTAGTTTTCTGAAAAGCGTCCCGGGACAAATTTGATGCTTAATGCAGTCCTAGGTGTTTGTGGAAAGACACTTCACGGAAAGGTTGATTTTTAACCATATGCGGTGCTAAAGAAACATTTTGAGATAGTGCCTTTTTATAAAAGAGTTGAGCATCGCATTTTTCTGCATCTGAATGAATTAGTCATGTGTTACACCACCCATGGGGAAATTTTTATCGATATTTCATGTGTGAGGGCCCGTGAACTACCGCTTGGAATTCCTCAAAATTTGGGAGGTAAAGACAGCAAGGTTTACGATTTCGGGATCATGTACTTGCAACATCAAACGCGTGTACATGAGTGGAGATGGTTCACTTGTGTACACATGTGACATTTTGCATGAGCAAATTTCCACTAAAGATTTTAATGGGAACTGTTCACACGCGTGAAGCCCTCTACTCGTGATCACGTATGAAAAAATCTTGACTATGGTGACCATCTACGGTCAGTTGACTATAGGTGGTCACCATGGTCAAGGTATAACGCAGTCGTCACCAATCCAATTTCATCTATAACTTTTCCAGGTGTGACCACTAGTTTCTGAAGTATCAGATTTTATATATATCACCACAAAGTAAGAGTCGAACCAGGGTACTCTAAAATCTACGATACTACTACTAAGCAAACTTGCCTGAGAAACTACTGAATAAATCTCATGTTCATATTTGTCGGATCAATCCTCACGAGTTACCGCGTGTCAAAAATTTTTCAAGCGTGATTACTAGTGAAACTTCCTAAATCTCTTTCCTAGCTTCCAAACTTTTTCTAGTTAATACAGGGGGACAAGAGGGTTCCCAAACATATTCCTACAGAAAATATCTTCGGCCTACAGCAAAGGTTGATATCTAGTCTGCTTATATGAGGTTACTCTGCAGAGTGACTTCATATACGCAGACGAGTCATATAACTAGTCATGACTGGTCACACTTGTGATACAATGGCTACAAGTGTTGCAGAACACACATAAGGAAAAATATCAGATAGAATAATTGCTGAATTCTAGCATGCTACTTTGCGTAGAAAAGTAAATTCACACTAAAATATTCTTTCTATAGCTTTCTACTTTAATGAATATTTTTCTTTTTTATCCATCTGTTCTATACGTTATAATGTGCATTATAACTGCAGCGTTCCGTCCTGCTTAAACAATTGCCTTGAACTGATTGATTGACGTACTGTAAAAGATTACTAGAACATAAGAGGGTTTATGTCTGCTGGATGAAAGAAATCGGATACATTTCTATGTACAGAATAGAACAAATTTTCATTACGAATCTAGCAAATAAGGAGATATCTTTCTTCACATAACATATGGACATTGCCACACATTTGACATGGAAAAAGAAGAAAAAAGACATTTTTTTCCATCGTTCGCTTTCATCGATGAATGATCATACTGTTTTTCTTCATAAACTTTAATAGACTAGCACAAAGGCTTGAATGATTGATATCTCATTTGAACTATCAAAAATCTTATCAAAAGAAGGTCCTTTTCTGATTTCAAAACAATTTGAAATAGTATAACACCGTCAGAAAGCGAATGGTCTGCACCGTATTGCTACTATGATCAGAGATTATTCTTAAAGGACGGTCAAGACATCTACGACATAGACTCTGTGTTTCCTAAACTGCAGCGTTTGAGATGTCTGAGGATATCCATATCTTTCTTTCTGTCGTATCTAAGCATTTCTACATCTTTCTCTGGTCAATTTTTCTGATTATTTTCATTATAGAAAGCACATCATATCTTTATGTCGTACTGTTTCAAAACACG